TAGGCATATGTTTTGAATCAGGTGGAAAGGACTGTGCTTCTAAGAAAAACTGCCTTCAGTCGATCAGGACTGTCATTGCCGCTTGAAGGCAGACGCTGCCGATTTTATGTCAACTTCGTGACTGTGACGATTCTGAATAACTACACCTCACCACAAGGTTAGTGCAAGGTTACCACATTTTGTATATGCACATGTAATTTATTCTGCAACCATAAACACATAAAAAAAAACAAAAAACATTCTTTTTACTCCCATCCCCCCAGCCCTCCACCCAGGTATGCTCTGCTAGCTGTAGATGCTCCTGTCTGCACATAAAAAAACATTTCCAGGGTCTGCTTAGGGCTTTGAAGTTGCTCTTGCAGCTCTGATGTTCCCGACGTAAACCAGCAATTAGTTTGTGTCATATGCATTCTGGTAAATATGAACGCTGTTACACCTTTGTCTTTAAATTAATAATCAGAGAGACATCTGTATTCAGCCTCTGTTGGTTGGTTGTTTATATTGTAATGACTGAATTATAACATTAATGAACTGCTATGAGATAACAGATAGATAACAGCCGCTGATTCTGAAAACCCAACAACAAAAAAGTCTTTTTAAACAGCTGATACCGTGTTGCACTGGTCAGATTTTTATTCTAGTTTAAACAAATCTTACTAAATCATTTTTAGTACCCCACCAGCTTTATTCATTTTTTTAAATGTATTAATTTGTTTTTAAATAGGCACATTTCATCACAGGATGAACTGTGGTATATCAGACTGTTTTAAAATGGAAAATCTAGAGAATGTATAACTGAATATTGGAGAAATCAGGACCTAAATGTATATTTATTACTAGCTCTGTTCAGTCTGAGCCACACCATGATACATTTTGCCAGTTTTCCACCCAGCAGATTCACTGACTCCTCCATGTCAAAATATGCCAAATGCTTGCCAGGTACTGTACAGTATCCACTTTAGTAACCTTTAAAAAGTTTAACTAAAACTTTAAAAACCCGTTTCACCCATGTGATCAAGGATGCTCACCTTGCCATGGACCTTCTGTTGAGCCTCACTGCCCTCCAGTATGTCCTCTCCTCCCTCTCCTGATGCCACTTTCCTATGGATGTGAGCATTCTGCTCCCGTAAGGCCACAATCTGCAGGAACAATAAAGCCAAAAGGTTACAAATGAATTAAGACACAACATCGCGATACTTGTATGGGAATAAAAGCATAGTTTAATATGTACAGTATCACTGCTTTTTCTTAGGTGTGGCCTTACAATATTAGCCTAACCTGCTGACGCCTCAATGTTTAATCATTAGCACAAACAACAACAATAACTGCAGACCTGAGTTACTAAATTACACGACGTCCCTCTCTGTAGGAATATATGAAATATGGCTTCAACCAGCATGAAGCTGGAAGGCTGTGAGTACTGATACAGTCACGAGAATCATCTTGATCTGCAGCCCTCATGGCTTGTTTTACCACCTTAGGCAACTGTCAAAAACACTAATAATTAGGTTCTTGCCTTGACAGACATTTTGTAATTATCACTCTCCTCATGACAGCAATGAGAACAGCAGACAGTGTACTCGGATGCTACTTGTCCCTCACAAACATTGCGAAGCCCCTGAGACTCTGTGGTACCTTGGGTACTTTCCATAACAAGAAACCCCTTAGGAGACCTACCAAAATGGTCTCAACCTCTTGTGAAACGCCTTATACTGTAAAAGTGGTGACTTCAGTGTACCTTTAGAAAATACTGTACTGACAAAGTGCTGACATCTAGGAACTTGGAAACATTTTTTTCAACAATGGCAAATACTGGGTTAAGATACTGTAACAGTAGAAACCAGACAATTCGATGGGTTGTTAACAGAACAGTTTTGCCACTTTACTTAAAGGGACAATGGAAAGTGAATGCACCCAAAACACTGGTTATACTCCCATGCTGCACAGGAAAACTGTGTGTGTGTCTGCACCAGAACAGAGGTAGGTGAAACTGAACCACAAAGCCAGTAAGTAAATTAGGCATTTGTTCTCGGTCACTAACCTGTGGGTTTATGGTTGCTGCCTTGTCTGTTTTGTCTTTATCATGTTTTAATATTTGCAGACCTCAACAATCAACTCGTTACAATGTGCGATGTTATTTTTATAGATGAAAATAATAAAAGTAAGAGTAATTGTATGAATAAGAAAATATTCATAGGACGTGTCCACTGAGCCCTGCCAGGATGTTTCTCCTCCTTCCTCAATAAGGCTGCATCATGCTAGGTCTACTCTGGGTATTAGAGATACTTTAATCTCTGAATCACTCAGGTCTCAGATCTGATTTCCATGCAGCCTTGATATGTGTTATTAGATGCATCACAACCCTATACATTCATAATAGTATTCATACAGTTTGACACACGAGCAGTTGATGATACAGTTATTGGAAGGTCATCTTTGTTCAGAACAAATAAATTGTGGTGCCTGAAAATCTCCCACTGATGCAAGAAAATTGCATTTCTCCCAACCTGATAATCACAAACACTTGATTTACAAAACTAATTTGCAGTTGACTTTGATATGATTAGGTCTAAACTAAATTCCTTACTTCTCCTCACCAACATCAAGATTTCCTTAAAGTGGGGACTGTAACAGGCAATTACTCCCCATCTACAGTGGCTTGGATTTTAACTCTGCAGCCTGCAATCTTTGCTAGTAATGGCTTGGTAACGTCTGTTGCTGCTGCACACCGTCTGTGTTCATTATTTTTACTGAGGGCATACTTATATTTCTATACCATTATTTGAGATTGTCTGTAAATTCTTCAGCTCAGAGACCAAACACTAACACCACTTCTGACAAAAACCAGTACAGATGCATCTCCAGCTCTGAAGCTACAGAACGGAGAAATCTGCCAGATGCTAAATGAACAGAGCACCTATTATTTCTTTTTGATGTTGCTGATCTACCTTTCATCAAAGGCAGAGATCTGACAGAAAAGAAGGCGAGGGACAAGAAGCATGAGATGGGGCTTTTAACAACACAGCATCCTGATTTCCTTAATGGTTTTTTTGGCGCTTCTGTGTTGGACTGAGGACTGTGAGGCAGCGTGGTAAAGGAGAGATCAGAGAAATGTGAGGAGGAGTGAAGGGAATGGAAAGGGGGGGGGGGTCTTAAAGTATAAAAGATTGATGTTATCAAGGTGAAAGCTGACGCTCTAGTGCAATGTGCTTAAATTGCAATCAATCACATACTTTGGAGGAAATGCATGGACACAAAAAATCACCAAAAAGCCAAACAAAAAAAAAAAACAACAACATTGTTGTATTCGGGTTAAAATTTGTGTGTTTCATTTTACCTGTGATACTTTGGGATTTCTTTGGCAAAGATGGCAAGGTTAGAACAGGGAGAATAACAAAGCAATATGGGTACATCTCAAGTCTCATAAGATCACATTCTATGTACATCCTATGTTTCTAGGGCATTCTATGTTTCTTATATCGGCTCTGAGGAGCAAGGAGGCTGCTGGAGGAGCCATGACCAAGGACACATGATACCATCCTTCATGGAAGTTTTTTATGAACTGACATGCCCCTTCATTGGTAATGAGTTGGTGACTGGATGCTTTAGATGAAGGACTGAAGGTAAAGACATCTCATTGTTTCCTCAAGTCCTATCTCGTCATGTTTTTCTTGAATCTTACGTGGGTGGGACTAAGATACAAGTCAGGGACCTAACCCTGCCACTTTTAAGATGACTCTTAACAATGTGTCAGTGTTGATTAATATCGACTGTGCCCAACAATTTATTCTCAGATAGGTTTCAACACAGTCTGTATCACCAGTAGTAATCAATGTGTGGTCACTCAATCACACGTGACTGTGTGAGGCTAAAGGCCACTGATTTCATCAGGTGCGACTGTGTTGTCTGAACCACTGCAGGGAGAAGGGGCTCACACCAGACCTCCGTCCCAAATCAGTTATATGTTCACTGGCTCGTGGTGCTGCCTGCTTCCTTGGAGCCTCTGGTGTGGGCATTTCTATTTGGCAAAGCCAGGTTAACTGTCTCTTCCACCACCAGTCACTCATCTGTCAGCCTCAGTGACAAGTGTAGAGTTAAGCATTCATGAGAGATGGCGCTGCAGATATACTCTACGGTCTTCCTACCCTTGGCTGTGCAATGTGAGAGAAATGTTCAAAGTGCTGCATCCTCTACTGAGTTGGGCTTTAGAGTTCAGTTAAAAAGGAGACATTATCCAAAAGCTGTAAAAGAAAAACGAGACAGCTTTTGAACCAGTGGCCTGTCACCTTCCTTTTCTTCACTCTCTGTTTAATGGGGAAGCTCAATAAAGACATGAAAGATCATGACTGTTTGTGCTTTATCAGCTTAGAAATATTTAGTTTGTTGATATTTGTGACTCACACTTCATGACCAATTTATGCAGAAAAGCAGGAAATTGAATTACTTTTTCTTGCGACTGTATTTACCAGCCAAACACATCGTTGCAGTTGTCTGCTAAGCCTCGCTCTCTGTGTGCTTCTCTCGTTCACCTTCTTGTCTCCACATCTTGTCAAATGTGCTTTGACCAATGGCACCCCCGCATGCTCATTAATACACACACCTCCACACACAATCTGCCTCTGGTTCCCACCTGCCATCTCTATTTCTGTCTTCTGCCTCTCTGTGCTCTTTTTGTATTTCCTCCTCTCTCCTCTCCAGACACATCTCGCTGTCTGTCTGTCCTTCCACCTGGTCCACACACCTCCCGATTCTTCCCTCCTCTGCTTTTCACTTCTTCTTCTTTTCCTCTCCTTACCAACATTTATTCTAGGCCTGAGTGTCAGGCTGGCATGTCTGACAGGCTGTGAAGTGCCAGCCTGAGGGGTTTTCTCAGCTGAAACACGACCATCTGCAGTGCGAGAGATGCTCTGGCGCTGCTGCCGGCCGGAGTCAGGAGGTGGAGAAGGCATTAGGCCACCGTAGAAAAACTGGCCCCTCTTCTGTCAGCGTTATGCTTCAATCACTCGTGTGCACACTGTTATTCACTGTAAAGATGAGAAGCCTGCAGAGGTGATCGGACTGTTTCTGAGTGTTTGAGTTGGTAATTCAAGAAACAACATACATATTAGACATAGGTCCACATTAATAACATACATATCTCAGGACATTTATTCTGTGTATTGGAACGTGTTTCTCTACAAAACTCTCTGTACTATACTGTGTTTTAATGTTGCTGTTTTATCAAGGGGTATATTGTCTGTATTTCCTGGTTGTTTTTTTTCTCCTTCCTGTTGTGTGAATCTGTCAATCTACACACACAGTTGCTCCTACATGCATGAACGAACTTGAACTGAATTAAATTAAAGCACTTTTAAACTGTCTCAGTGTACGAGCAAAATCTGTTTCTATTTTTCAGTCATTTGTGTTACTACAGTAGTAGTAATTACTTTCAGCACTAATGTTACTTGCACTAATCGCTGTGTGTATTATTACCATCAGGTGTTTCTATCATCAAACGTCCTCACTAAACTTCTTATATTTTGTTATGAAAATCATCTGTGAGACGCTGAGATCCGACTCAGTCCATATGCACAAAGTTTAATATATTACAGTATAAATAACACTGAACAGAACAGCTGTGGCAGCCCTTACCTCCTGATTGGCTGCCGTGAGCTCCTCCTCCAAGGCAGACACCCTCTCCAGTGACACCCGGAGCCTTTCTCGTACCTGGAAACCAAAACAGCCAAACAAGTCTCATACTGTATGTGGTGTCCTTAATATGTGCAAGTTTCTCAACTGACTCTCAGATGGATTCATAGCAAAGGGCCTATCAGAAAACATTTCCTACTGTTTTACTTAAGTTATGTGGGGAAAAACCCTGCAGCAGAAATTGCAGTGCTCCTTTCCTCCCATAACCTCATGACAACCTTTTACAGTAGCTGCTCTATCCATTAGTATAATAACATAATAATATATGTATTTACACTTTAATAAAAATGATGTCACTGTATGAATGATTCTATATACACATTAATTACACATATTAGGATACTAAATTATGCACATAATATTTTTCTCTTGAATGCTTAATAAAATTAGAGGGGATCAGTGGAAGAATGTGACCTCCCAGTATGAGCCGATGAGCTACCTCAACATTATGTGGAGAATTACATGGCAATATATGATGTTCAGGGACAAAAGTCTGATTTCAGTGTGTACACTTGATACTAGAAGTATACATTTTTGTTTTTTGCTAATATAAACCACCTAAAACAGAGAAAGACAGATTCCTGAACTACCGTAACTGTACATGCTGCTTAGCCAGACACCTTGACTTTAACTGACACCAATTTACCTTCTCATCGAGGGCTTTATGGTGTTCAAACAAGGATTTGAGTGCTTTGAGGACCTCAACTTCACTAGAGACTCCTGAGGGAGACTGAGCCTGCCGCTTGACCACTGTCATACGAAGTGACCGCTCGTGTCTGGACACCAGGCACTCCAGATGTTCCAGCAGTAGCTGAAGAGACACACAGGAGAAATCACTGCTACGGCATCATCATCATTGAGACAAGTACAAATATTCTGCCTACTGGGATAACTCAGGCAGCTGGTGATCAAGCACGGGCATAATGTGCAAGAATCCAAAGTAAGAATACAAATCAAGCACAAACAAAACTCACCTTTTTAATCCACATAAATTTCTTATTCTTTATTTTTCACATTAAGCGTTTTGACAAGTCCTGGAAGACCCCAAAGACATCTCAACAATTTAAGATGCTACCGTATAAACGAGATTCGAAGAATCAGATACATTTAAATAATTATGGTAAAGGATCAATTCTTCTTAGGGCTTCTCACTGACAAGAAAAGCATGGCCCTGAATATGCACCAAGCTTGTTTGCTCTTCCAACACTTGCTGAAATATATACAATGGAGGATGAAATATAGTCAATGGAGGAAAATAAATAAATAATAATAATAATAAAAATAAATAGATGATAGAGGTTCTACAGATGTGTTTTGGTATTTTGGTCATGTATGATCATATTCAATTAAAATCACTATCATCATTCTCATTAATAATGTTACCAAAGTCACTATGCAATCTAATACAATAACCAGCAATGAAACCTACAACTGTGAAAGTTATAATGTGCCCCACAAATTGAGCACCCAGTTGAATCAACACCTCTCGAACAGAAACTGAAGGTTATCCCCTTCATGAAGGGAGCTAGGCTTATAAGAGACTGCATTAGCTTTAGCTAGGTGTAGCTAAAGTGTATGTAACATCTTCTGTAAATGCATGAATAACTCAAGATAGTTTCATAAATATGTGCACAAGTGACTGCAATCCTTCCAGCAGTGCAGTGACGGGGTGATGCTAATCTGGACTGGTAGAGCAGGTCACATGTCAAGGCAAAGACAGAAGTGATGCGGAGCTCAAGGGCTGACTTCAGGAAAAGAAGGTAAAAAATAAACTAACTAAAATTAAACTACCAGGATGTGAATGGAAGCAGGGATATTTTTCTGACTCTGTCTAAAAAACAAAAACAAAACAATGCTACAATAAGTAACCTGAAGAGAAAGTAAAGCAAACTAATGAAACAAAACTGCTGGGGATATATTTGCAGAATTTATAAAAACAAAATGTCATATGACAGTACGAGTGGCTGTTTAACCAAACATTCTGTTAATATTCCTCTATATACAATACAACCCCAAAAATGTAAACTAAAATCAAATCCATGATCAATATTGTAAAGTCTGAGTGTCCAGCATCTGGTTTGCATCTGCTGTATCTTGCTTTAATAGTAACATGGAGAGAATAATAATATTTTTGTTCTCAATGCCTCAAGCAAACTTCACATGCATTATTATTTTTTCCCTGCAGGATGCGGAAGACAAATCATCAACAGAAAACATTTTACCTAGGGGAAGTGATCAGAATCTCTGCAGGGGTGGGTGGTAACAGTGGGAAAGCCTGCAGGAGCATGAGTCCTGGTTTGAAACAAGACCCTGTGCAGACCTCCAGTGTAGCCGAGAGCAGACTGAATGTTGTCTCTTCTCTTCTCTGCCTGATACAACTGTCTCTCAGAGCCTCATCAGCAGCCATCATGTCTACATGCAGACATGCTGCACACTCAACAGTTGAATCAATCAGGAAACAAAGGTTTATTCCAAGTTTGAGCTTCAGAATAAGAACAGACAACATCCACAGCATCCACCTGTTTAGTACATGTTTACATCCTTTACCTGCTGCTCCCCTTTTTCTGTCTTATGTCTCTGCACCATCCGTCGGATTGTAGTGCTTATCCCAAGTAACCAATAAAGTTAACATGTCTTTCCAGCAGCATCACATCTGTGATTCACTCCTCAGTCCATTGACTGCCTGCACACGCCTTCGAAGATTTAATTATGAACTGTAAAACCCTACCAGCGACAAACCCAAGCTTAATTAAAGTTTGCTTGGTAATTGCCCATTGGAGAATTTGAGGTGATAATAACTTGAGAGAGTGAAAATGACTTTTGTCTGGCCCTGTTTTTTGCACCTCATCTCCCTGTTTTCCTTCATTCTCAGTTACTGTTGTGCTAAAAAAAAGAGAAGTGCAAGACTGTAAATCCACATGTAATCAGCACTGGCGTGGAAAACAGTGTCTTATCTGTCAACAGCAGAGTGTGATGACTGCTTTAAAAAGTTGTTTTTTGTAGGACTTCAGCCCTACAAAACTGAACTGATCTGCTAATACCTTTAGTTGTGTGTTTCCAAATACTTTGAGCTGAACACTGCAGGGTATCTGTGCCATTTGGACTTAGTTTTACTGTTGAGCAACCATCCATATGAAGTGGAAAAATGTTCAGGCAGAACGTGGCGAGCTAATGAGGTATGTCTGGGCATTGGGAACAGACACCGTGCGTGATTGCTTCAGCGCTTCTGCAGACTTAAAATCAAACCTACCAGATAGCTTAAGCTTTGCCAGGATGCTGTCAATCCCAGTGTGCAGGTGTCTTTTGTTTTGTTGGAGCTGACATAAAAATTTGGGGTAACTCTTGAAGCTTTAGAGAAAAAAGTGGAATGCACATTTAAGGAGGTCAGATATGAAAGAAACAAGCTCCTTCATCAGTTACATTTCTGGTTGAAAAGGTCAAAACAACAACAGTGACTGTCTCTCTTTGCCCAAAATATCATGACTGTTGGTTAGACTGTGACCCATCAACTGGTGGCAGTATAAACAGCTTCGGTTTTAAGATGCATGTGGCAGTTGCCCTCACCCTGGTGTTGTTTCTCTCAGCTTTGAGCTCAGAGATCTCCTCCTCCTTCTCCAGCAGCTGCTCCCTGCAGGCATTCAGCTCCTTGGTCAACGCGGCAAACTCCTGAACAACAATGACAAGAAAGGCAAAGGATGGGTCAACATCACAGAGGACTGTGCAGAGTGTGCATGGTGAACGGTACAGTGATACAACGTAAAGCTACAGGGCATGTTAGATGTTGGCTGGCTGTAACCAATGGATGATGAAAATGTTACAAACACAATTAAATCATTTAAATCTCCTGTCAGTTACAGTGTAAGGCCTCACATGATAACAGTCTCCACTTTCAAGTTATTTGTAAGAACTAAAGCACAACTGACAGTTGATTTTTAGGCTGACAGCACTATTTCAAGGTTTCAAAAATCTGTTAAGTACAGTATACAGTATATGTCTGCCAGCTGAAAAGAAATGTCAGCACTACTCAGTTCTAACTGAACTCAAACATTATCCTGAGCAATTCCATACTGTAATCTCTTGCCACATATTACAGCCCCTTAGCATCAGATATTATATCTTATTCTCATGTGTTAAGGTAGTGATGCTGGTAATGACTTAATTTCTTTAATAAATGCATTATACTGTATGTAGAACAGGTTAATCATGTTGTTATGTTTGGAAACAAAGATTCAATCCATTGTCCAATAACGGGAAGAGATTGAGTACTGGCTCTATAGAGCAATGTGGGCACAGTGCCTGGTGGAGTGCATTTACACCTACACTACTGGATGACATCACAAAGCAGGACAGCAGACTGGGCTTCGTACTGTAATCAATGTGCAGTAGTACTATGGACTGAGCACGGCACTATGAGCAACAGCTGAGGAGACAGACTGTGTGAGTGACGGAGCAGCAGGTGTAGAGGCCGCTTCACAACGGCAGGTTGCAGTTCTAGAAATACAAATATTTTTCAGAGGCATAAACTGCAACTGGAAGATTAGACTGAAGATGGAGAAAAGAGGAGGTAACTAACTAGTAGGCTAACATTTCATTTATGGACAATGGCACCACCAGCAGCATTAAGGAAGAAGAAGAGGAAGAGAAGAACTGCTGTTTCAGGAGCAACTCTGAAGTTTTTGCAGTTAAATTCAAACCAGCATTATGGTTAATGCACTTTAGAGATCAGGCTGAGCACATACGATGCTAAAGAGACATCATCTCTGTTGCAAAGTACAAAGGGCTTATCACAAAGAGTGAAATACCAAGCAAACCAACTCACGCTTGGTCAACATGAGCACAACATTGGAATATACCAGCCAGACATTACAATGCCTCGTTCTCTTCTTCCAGACCAGGAGCGTCACTTTCTGCAGGTCACAGTTTATTTTTCTGCAGATGGACACTGACAAAAGATAAAAAATACACCTCTTTGAATGTTGAGCTGGTTGATGTTCCATAACAACCAGCATGCTCAGTATTTGATTTCAGATCCTAAAAAGAAAAACTTATGCAGTGCAGTATACAGAGTATTGCAGGAGATTACACATACAATCGCCTGCAGTGGGTTCAGTTTATAGTGGTTTTGCTGCTCTTGGACTGCTAGTTTGTGAATAAAAGTTATATATATATATAAAATTATTATTATTATTATTATTATATATACACACAGTTATTTTAGATCCAAAGTTGCCCAATTTACTGAAAGAAAACATGAAAAAGCAAGTCATAATAAAAAAATGCATGAATAACTGTTACTTACAACCCTATTATTATTTTATTTATAGTCTCCTACAGTGAGCTAAACATCAAATAAAAATATAATAATGAATCAATTTTCATAAGCTGTCAGTTGAAAACACCCAGTGATCTGTCTGGGCACACATTGTAATTCAGACTCTGTACACCATCTGCCCTTCAGAAGACAAGCACAATAACTCAGAGTTACAGACAAACTCCAGGGATTGTGGCAATATTGTGTCTCATAGCTACATAGTGCCACAAATCCTTACAGACCTCAGTGCAACAAAGCCTCTGCACAATGACGCACCCATGCACCATAAAAATCCCCAAATTACTACTGACTCGTACTCTGATCACAAAAGTAAATCAACTTTTTCAAATTCTCACAAAACAAAGACTAGATTTTAGGTCTATGGTCCCAACATGCATCAGGAGAAACGGATGTATCACATGTAAGGGCCTGCTGAGTTAACAATTAGCTGATCTACAGAGGATGACCAGGTCAACTGTTAAGACCCAACTGTTACCATAGCTACCAGAGGCGAGGGGGAAACGTTGTTGGCATGGTAACCAAGTCATCTGTACAGAGATGTGACCTGCTGTGTAATGGACCAACACAACAAAAGAAAGACTATAAGATGGATTTCTAATTTTTTTTTAAGATTATCAGAACTTGTAATGATTCCCACTGCAAAATTGAACAGATTGCTATATTTTCAGTGTATTATTATTTCATATCTACATTCACAATAGAATTATTCTTCGCTATATGTGCTGTATCCTGTTATTATTCTGCTTTTCAGATGATCCATACTCCCCACTGTGATCATCACACTTTCATTCAATCTTAAATTATCTTGGGAACAATCTGTAAATTAAGCTCGTATGTCGTTACAGAACTGTACTTCTTGCCTCTCTGCATTTTCTAAACTTAGGACAGTGTGCGGTCAGACAGGCCCAAAGAAACTTAGAGCTCATAAACCTCCCTCCCAGGTGAATGTAACTAATCTCAGTCACCTTCTGTCATGAAAAAGCTGCAAATTGCACCATTTACTCCAATGCTTGTGAAACCTAACAACCCCCTGCTTGTGTCCCGGTTGCTAAGTTTCAACATCCTCAGCAACAGTTGCTGTTCTTTAAACCAGGCACAGCCGTTTCTCTTATGGTTGGGTGAGGAAATGTTCAAAGTCTACCTTTACCTAAAGGCCAAACTGTCAGGACCTGGGATGTGGGTGTCACTGAAACAACAGGATAATGATAATCACCTTTATTGGCCAAGTATGTTACACACAAGGAATTGGTTTCCGGTACAGAACCGAGGCAGCCAGCTGCAGCGCTAACTCAAGCGATGGCTCCAACCACCGCGGGCAACTTGGGGGTTCAGTGTCTTGCCCAAGGACACTTCGACATGTGGACTGCAGGCACCGAGATTCCAACCTCCAACCCTCCGGCTGGGAGACGACTGCTCTACCCACTGAACCACAGTCGCCCACATATGGTGGTTTCCAGAACATCCACTAAGATTCTGTTACAAACTAACAATGTCATTAGACTTCAGTTCCATAATTTCTATATATAAAAAGATATCTGTGGCACTTAGTGTGTCAGCTCTTTTTGTAACTGATGTCCCCACACTAAACTTAACACCCACTTTAATTAACTTCTCCTTGTTCTGTCAGCTAGTCTCAGCCAAACGTAGCACGCACGCAGACAGAGGCTGTGTAATATCTTTAAAATAATCAAAGGGCATGTTCAGGCAGGGACCAAACAAGACAAGATAAAGCTCTAAGAAAGTAACTAGTTAAAAAAATGTAACACCTTTTTGCAAAGTCAACAGAAAAGGTACAAAAGAAGTAGCTGGGATTCTAGCAAACCATGTTTATGTTAAACAATTAGTTTGCCAATACTGGGAAATAGTCTTGCTGTCTTATTTGCTTTGCTTTCCAAGTCTTAGTTGAAAATAGCATTATCAGTCTGTGTGTTAAGTAAGAAGCTAGAGCCTGGAGTTGGGTAGTGTAGTGTGAAAGCAGGGGAAACAGCTAGCTACAAAAAAAAAAATAAATCTGCTCATCAGCACCTCTAAAGCAGACAAAACCAAATGTACCTCGGTTGTTCTGTACACAAACAAAATAAAACGACTATTTGTGGCTTTGGAGCCTGCAATAAAGAGATGTTTTATGGTTTTCATACTAAGCTAACTGCCTCCTGCCTCCATCTCCACACTTAAAAGAGCTGCATCCGTTTTCGCCTCTAGTTCCCAGAAAGAAAACAAAAAGAATCTTTACCACAATGTTGAACAATTTTTTTACATGTATATATGAAATGAAATGTGAATGAAAAGAAACTCAACCTTTATATACTGTAGCACTTAAAACGTACTTTGGCCAACTTTAGTTGACCGAAGTACTTTTCATACACCTGGTAAACGTAACAATATAATAAATATAACAGTCAACCATTAAACATTGACAACATAGAGACAAATAACAGTGATCAACACCA